GTATATGTTGGCAAAGATGTCGAGAAACAGGAACCCTTATATGTTTCTGGTGGGAATGTAGAGTGGTACAGACACTTTGGAGAACAGTTTAGGGGGAGGGAGTTAAGATGGTGGAGAAGTAGGGGGACCCTAAGCTTTCCTTGTCCCTATAACACAGCCATATTGAGGTCAGATCACTTGGAACACCCAGGAAATTGATCTGAGGACTAGGAGAAGGATCTCCACGGTTGGAGGGAGACAGCAGGGCAGGTGCAAGGCTTATTTTAACAGACACTTTGGAGAACAGTTTAACAGTTTCTTAATAAGTTAAACATAAATTTATCATACATACCACCAATTCCACTCCCAATTGAAATGAAAACATATGTCTACACAAAGACTTGCACATAAGTGTTCATAGCTTGTCTATTCTGCTCTATTCTATTTGGTTATTCATAATAAACAGAAAGTGAGAACAACTCAAATTTCCATCAACTAGTGTATGGATAAAAAAATGTAGTATGTCCATATAATAGAATACTATTCAAGGATTTTAAAAGGAATGAAATACTGATACATGTGACAAATTGAATGAGCCTCAAAAATATTATGCTCAGCAATCGTGCTCATAGGTATTTAGCCAATTGAGTTGAAAACTGATGTCCACACAAAAACCTGCACACAAATGTTTATAGCAGCTTTTTTTTTTCATAATGGCCAAGATTTAGAAGCAACCAAGATGTCCATCAATGGTAAATGGATAAGTAAACTGTTATATCTATACAATGGAATATTATTCAGCAATAAAAAAATGATCTATCCTGTATTGTAGGATTGAAATTAGCTAAGAGGTTAGAACTTAAATATTCTCACCAAAAAAAAAGATAAATATGTGAGATGATAGATGTGTTAATTAGATGGGGGCTCTCCTTTCACAATGTGTATGTGTATCCAATCACCACAATGTCCACTTTAAATATCTTACAATTTTGTATGTCAGTTACACCTCAGTAAAGCTGTAATTTTAAAAATTGAGCTATCGAGCCACAAAAAGAAATGGAGAAATTTTAAATGCATATTGTTAAGTGAAAGAAGCCAACCTGAAAAGACTACATACTGTATGACTTCAACTATCTGACATTCTGAAAAAGGCAAAACTATAGAGAGAGTAAAAAAAAAAAATTAGTGATTACCAGGGGGTTGGAGAGGAGGGGAGGAATACTTAGGCAGAGCACAGGGGATTTTTAGGGCAGTGAAACTATTCTGTATGATTCTGTAATTGTGGCTACATGACATCATATATTTGTCAAAACTCATACAACACTAAGAGTGAACCCTAATGTAAGCTATGGACTTTAATAATAATATATCAGTATTGCAACAAATGTACCAGGCTAATGCAAGATGTTAATAGGGGAAACTATATGTGGGGGAGAGGGTATATGGAAACTCTCTGTTCTATCTGTTCAGTTTTTCTGTAAATCTAAAACTGTCCTAGAAAGCTCTATTAATTTAAAAAATTATCTTAAGTAGGGGCGCTTGGGTGACTCAATCAGTTGAGCATCCAACTCTTGGTTTCAGCTCAGGTCATGATCTCAGGGTTGTGAGATTGAACCCCACATCAGGCTCCGTGCTCAGCAGGGAGTCTGCTGGAAATTTTCTCTCTCCCCCTCTTCCCCTCCCCCGGCTCATGCATTCTCCCTCTCTCTCTCTCTCTCTCTCTCAAAATAAATAAATCTTTAAAAAAAGAAAAAATATGCTAAGTAAAAGAAGCCAGATAGAAAAGACCACATAAGGTATAATTCCATTTATATGAAATGTTTAGAAAGACAAATCTATACAGACAGTAGATTAGTAGTTTCCTGGCTCTGGGGGTAAGAATAGGGATTAACTGTAACAGGTATGAGGACTCTTACTGGAGGGATAAAAATGTTCTAAAACTAAATTATGGTGATGGCTGCCTAACTCAGTAAATTTATTAAAAATCATTGAATTGTATACTTAATATGGATAAATTTTATGGTATCTAAATCATATCTTAATAAAGCCACAAAAAAATTCCTTTGATCCCACCTTTAAAAATTGTCTGTTACACATTAGTTCCTTGTAACTATGAATCATATAAATAATGTGTAGTGGGATCCCATGTTCGTTGATCAGAAAACTTAATATTGTTAAGATGGCAACACTGCCAAGTTGATCTACAGATTCAACACAGTCCCTACAAAATCCTAGCTGGCTTTTTGTAGAAATTGACAAGCTGATCCTAAAATACATATGGAAATGCAGGGGACCTACAGAAAGTCAAAACAATCTTGAGAAAGAACAAAGTTGGAGGACTCACACTGTAATCAAGACAGTGTGGTGCTGGCATAAGGTTAGACATATAGATCAATGGAATAGAATTGAGAGTCCAGAAATAAACCCTCACATTTATGGTCAATTGATTTTTGACAAAGGTACTAAGACAATTCAATAGGGAAAGAATAGTCTTTTCAACAAATGGTGCTGGGACAACCGGATCCACATGCAAAAGAATGAATTTGGACCTCTACTTCCTACCATATATAACAATTTAAAATAGATCATAGACCTAAGTGTAAGAGCTAAAATTATAAAACTCTTAGAAGAAAGCATTGGAGCAAATCATCATAACCTTGGCTTTGGCAAAGCCTTCTTAGATATATCACCAAAAGCACAAGCAACAAAAGAAAAAAATAAATAGATTGGACCTCATCAAGATTAAGTCCTCCGGGGCTTCAAAGAACACCATCAAGAAAGTGAAAAGACAGCCAATAGAATGAGAGAAAACATTTCCAAATCATACACAGGCATACCTTGGAGGTATTGCAGGTTCTGTTCTAGACCACTGCAGTAATGCAAATATCACAATAAAGGGAGTCAAGTGAATTTTTTTGGTTTCCCAGTGCATATAAAAATGTATGTTTATACTGTAGTCTTCCAAGTTTGCAATAACAAATTATGTCTAAAAAAATGTATATATTTAATTTAAAAACACTTTATTGCTAAAAAATTCTAACCATCATCTGAGCTTTCAGTGAGTCATACTCTTTTTTGCCAGTGGAGGGTTTTGCCTCAGTGTCAATGGCTGCCAACTGATCGGGGTGGTGGTTGCTGAAGGTTGGGGTGGCCGTGGCAGTTTCTTAAAAGAAGACAATGATGAAGTTTGCCACACAATATGGGCTCTTCCTTTCAACGATTTCTCTAGCACATGAGGCTGTTTGATAGCATTTTACCCACAGTAGAACTTGTTTCAAAATTAGAGTCAATCCTGTCAAACCCTGCCGCTGCTTTATCAACTAAGTTGATGTAATATTCTAAATCTTTTGTTGCCATTTCAACAGTCTACACAGCATCTTCACCAGGAGTAGATTCCATCGCAAGGAACCACTTTCTATGCTCATCCATAAGAAGCAATTCCTTGTCCATAAGTTTTATCACGAGATTGTGGCAATTCAGTCGCATCTTCAGGCTCCACTTCTAATTCTAGTTCTCTCGCTGTTTCCACCATAAACCTTCAATTTGTTTTAAAAAAAGTCATTATCTGTGGAGCACAGTAAAGTGCAATAAAACGGATGTGCCTGTATCTGTTCAGAGGTTTGTGTCCAGAATATATAAAGAACTCTTCCAACTCAGCAATAAAAAGACAAATAGCCCAGTTAAAATATGGGCAAAGGACTTGAATAGATCCTTATACCAAGAAGATGTACAAATGGCCAATGAGCACATGGAAAGATGTTCAACATCATTGGTCATTAGGGAAGCGCAGAGCAAAACTACAGTAAGATACCACTTCACACCCACCAGGATGGCTAGAATCAACTAGACAGATGATGCCAAATGCACGTGAGGACAGGCGAAATTATAACCCTCACACACTGCTAGTGGGAATGTAAAATGGTACAGCCACTTTGGAAAACAATCTGGTGGTTCCTCAGAAGCAAACCATATAACTGCAGATGCACAACATTATCCATTTGATGTTCTTAGGAAGAGCAAGAAGGCCCTTGTGGCCGGAGCAAAGTCAGTAATGAGGACAGGGGCAGGAGAGGACAGAGGAATTGATAAGGGCCATGTCATGCAAGGCCTTGTGGACCATGGTAGGACTTTGGATTTTATTGTGAATGCGATGGAGTTATGATCAGGAGCTCTTGGGTCTTAGTGAGATTGTAGTATCCATTGTAAGGAGTGAGAAAGAGACAGCTAGAGGGAAGTAAATTATTACTGAGCAGCCTTGAAGACCCACCTGTGATTGGGAACCATAAATGTGTAATGGGGTACCCCTGCAGTTACATGGTTTGTTCCAATAGCACTTGACCATCCTAGCTTTGGGAACAGAAAAAACAGGTGGCCAGACTGACTTAAGGTTGGGATTTGAGGTTCAGATGCCAGGAGGAAACTGGCTGGTAAACTAACTCATAAGCAAGTACTAAGGTAGGTTCTTAACAGAGAAAAATCACATTTTCAGGAGTCTTTGAAAAAGGAAGTACTGTATTTCTGCCATCTTTCGCTGCTTTGCTGTAAGCAATTTAGAAGCAATTAATTTAGTGAAAGAAGCATTGAGAGGAGACTTAAATATGAGCCTCAGCTCTCCCAGTGACTGTGACACCAAGGATAAATTCTCAAAGCTGACAGCTGTGAGAAGGCTAAAGAAATTATCTTTCTGGCTGCTTGTTAAATCATGCCAAGAAATTAGCTTTACGCCATAAAACAAAACTCTTCAGCCTCTCTTGGCAACAATTCTTCCAAATTTCCTCCGTGCTACCAAATTTCTCCCGATGCAGCTCAGCTCATTCTCCTTGTGCCAGGGACGACCTGTACAACATCCCTTCATGGAATAAACGGTAGTTTAAATCAAATCCTACCCCTCCTCTGCTCACAAGCCTCCAAAGGCTTCCCATCTCACTAAGGATAAAGGCCACACTCTTTGTGACGGCCCCTGGGATTTGGTCCCATCAGAACTCATCTTGTACTGCTCTCCTTCATTAACTGTGTTCCAGCCACACTGGCCTTTCAGCTTCTCAAATAGGCCAAGGAAGTTCTTTCCTGCCTCAGAGCTTTTGCAATGCTGTTCTCTCTGCCTGGAAGACTTCTCCATCTCAGTATGGGTGAGTTTCTTTTCACTTTTCAGGTCTTTGTCTAAATATCACCTACTCAGAGAATCTTTCCTGACCAACCTATCTGAAGTAACGCTCACACACACCCTGTTACTCTCGATCACATTACTGTGTGTTGTTTTTGTGATGTCACTTGTCACAGGATGTTGTTTTCTTGTTTGTTTTTGTATTTTTCACCTGCTTCCACATAGCCTGCCCCCCCACACACACACACTGTGAAGTCCTTGAGAATAGGCTTATCTGTATGATCTGTTCATCTTTATTCCCAGAGTATATATAGAACAGAGTGAGTGCTCAGTACAAATTTATATGTTGAGGGAGGAAGGAAGGGATAGACCTCTTTTGTTACCTGTGCCCAATAAGTAATCATTAAGATTATTTCTCAAACCCTTAGTTATTTGTATTGTCCTCTACTGGACTCTTCCATAGTGGAATAAAATCCTGATTTCCTGACTGATCTTGAATATTAGAGAGAGGATTATCATATTATAGACTTTCAGAGTCAGGAAGAACCAGAAGTCATCTATTCTAATCTCTCTCTCCATGTAGAGACCTTTCTGCAGTATCTATCCCAGGATTCCTTAAGATGTCTCAGTGGCAACTACAGGAAGTAAAGGGGTAGCTAAGTATATAGGGTTCTGGAACCCCCGCCCCCAAGTGTCCACTCACGCTTTAACCAGAGCAGTGTTGATTTTGTTTGTTTTCTATATTGGGATTCCACATAAAAATTCATTTAAAAAAAAAAAAACAGTCTGCTGCTCAAGAGAACTTTAAAAACTACAGATCTGGGGCGCCTGGCTGGCTCAGTCAGTAGAGCATGTGACCCTTGATCTCCGGGTCATGAATTCAAGCCCCACATTTGGCATAGAGCTGACTTAAAAAAAAAAAAAAAAAAAAAAAGAGCTACAGATCTAACCTATGCCTGAACATGCATATCTTGATATTCCTTCATGCCATTGTTACATCTCTGTCTTCAATATTTAAAGATGACACAATGGACAGCAATCGCTATCTGTGCATGTGTTTGTCACTACAGAGACAAACGTACCACCAGATGGTTCTTTCTACATTTAAAGCCTGTCCACTGGTTTGAAGCACTAGGTTTTTATTTCGTAGCATCAAGATGGTCTGTGCAGTCTCCCGGGAGTCTATCGCTGTGCTGCAGTACTGAGAACCACTTCAAATATGACCTTACAGCTATCTTCCACTCTCCTTGTTTGTCTCACATCGGTGAATTACCTTCTTTGTTTCAGTATTAAATTTCACCCTAGTGATATCCACCCACTTTGCCAATTGATTCAAGTCATTTCAATTTTAAGTGTGTCTACCAAACAAAACTGCCACATCTAACTTTATTTTTTGGATATATTTAATGCAAAGCTCCCTATTTTATCACACATTAAAAAAACAAACAAACAAACTAATGACATGTCTCTAGATCCAGAACCAGCTTCTACCTAAATCCATGCTTTGTTTCTCTATTTGTTTGTTTGTTCTTCGGGGCGGCGGGGGAGAAGGAGGGGAGCAATGCGTCATGGATCCTTAAAATTTCCTGATTTGGGTACTGATCAGGCCCAGTGTTTTTCTAGTTTATCACATTTGAATTTGTAAATGTATAATCTGAACATTATTTTTCGTTTATTCAAGGTAAAAAATATGAATCCTATTCTCCATTCTTTAGACATTTCATCATTCCTATAAATTCTTTAAAATAAAAAAAAAATGTTTTCTTCAGAGCCTGCCATGTGCTAAGCACTGTGCTAGGTGTTGAAGGTATAAAGATGAGTAAGAGATACAGTCCTTGCTCTCAAAGAGTTTATAAAGTCTAGTGGACGAGACAGGTACAGGAAGTAATCATGTGCAAGCCAGTCTGATAAGTACTGTGGTAGAGGTTTAAATAAACTGCTGGAGTACAAAAAAGGAATCAACTTTCTTTGCCTGCAAAAGGAAGGTGGAACTTCAGGGCCGTCTTCACAGCCAGATCTTAAAGGATGGGTAAGAGGTTGGCAGAGGAGATGGAAGTCATTCAACATCCAAGACTACATACGCGCAAAGCCCCAGAGACTTAGAGAATATACTGTGTTTGGGATAGGGAGAAAAGTTTAATGTGGTTAAATTCTAAGTACTTGAGGGGAATGGTGAGATAAGAGACTTGAGGAAGTAGGCCCAGCCAAGACCATGAAGGGCGTTGTGTACTATGCTAAAGAAAGGGTCTTTTTTCGTATAGGCATGTGGACTCCTTGAGGGGTTTTTAAGCAGGGTAATGACATTGTCAGAATTGTGCTTTAGAAACTTACAATAAGCAGTGTAAAGTGTATGATAGGAAGGGAACACTGGGGGCGCCTGGGTGACTCAGTCGTTAAGCAACTGCCTTCGGCTCAGGTCATGGTCCCAGGGTCCTGGGATCGAGTCCCACGTTGGGCTCCCTGCTCCGCGGGAAGCCTGCTTCTCCCTCTCCCACTGCCCCCTGCTTGTGTTCCCTCTCTCACTGTGTCTCTCTCTGTCAAATAAATAAATAAAATCTTTAAAAAAAAAAAAAAAAGAAGGGAACACTGGGAGGAATATAGGACCCCTAGAAGCTCTATAGTATGTGGCCAATTCCCTAAGTACCCTGGGATAGAAATCATTTTTGTTTTTCAACTGTAAAAGAGGAATAGCCATTTCTTCCCTTACTTCATATGGAGCTAATGGGAGTAAATGAGATCGTATGTCCTCTGAGCCTCTTAGAAGAAAGCTTCCAGGTTAGGGCTAGGTGGCTGGAAGTTGAGAAAAACATAGTCTATACCATATAATTTCACACTTATTCATGCACATTTTATGGGTTTTTTAAATATGTATTTGTCTTATCTTACAGCTCGATTTGACTCAGTCATAATCTTTTGAAGGGCAGGGTCCAGGACATCTTGCATTGTCCACAACCCTTAGTACAGAGACAGAGCACAGAATGAGTCCTCAGCACCCTCCTGCGGATTGATCGCATCCAGTGTCCCCTCTTAGGCAGACTGCCAAGACTGAGGTATCAGAGGAAGGCCACAGTACTACTGGGGACTAGGAGTAATGTTATATTTCAAGGCTCATTTTCTGGGGGTGGCCAAAATGATTCTGAGTCTTGTTCAGCCAGGCCTACGAGTGCCAGCCAGGCCCCTTTACTCCCTGCCTTGGGCTTGACACCTTCTTATAAATATGAGGTAAATTATGAAAGTTCCCTCTGTATAAAATAGAAATAATTATCATTTTGCTAGGAAGTCACAATCTACAGCTGAAAACTATTGAGTAGAATATATGTATATTATAATTGTGAACAAAATTTCAGAATGTAGCTAGTCATTTGTTTGCAGAAAAGGTGTAAAAAATAGTGTTCCACCTTTTATATTTTGTCTTTTTGATACCATAATTAACATAGATATAACATGACAACAACCCTAGGTGTTTTCAATCCAAGTTTTGAACAATTTCAGTAATACATGGTAAAATTTGTCAAGAGGCTTAATCCTATAGCCAAAGGACATTTGAGGAGCTCCCATATGTTTTTCTTGGATGTCAAAAAATTACCCTAGATTTGCATCAGCAGAAGCCAGAAAGTCTGAAAAGCATTCCCTGCATTTTTAAAGGAAGCACTCTTCCCTCTCTCCTGATTCGGCAGAGGTTGTGATCAGTTCACTGAGCAGAATGGCATTTCCTCCTATCCACACCTAACATAAACTCCAGCCAATTTAATGGGGTATATTACGTAGGTTGGGGATGCAAGCACATAAAGTCTTTGGCTCCTGAGACACTCATCTTGTGTGCCAAGACCAGGTGCAGAAATACAAATACATATATATTAAGCCTGAGACAGCTGCTTTGCCAGTGCTTTTGTGTTTTTTCTATTTAACTGGAAAGGTTGAGCAGACACGGTTTCCATCAGTTATTCATAAAATGTTATTTTTCTTGTGGAGGAAGAGAGTACATTGAATTCCTCAACTCAATATTGATGTCTAAACCATTGAGGCTTTTAAGTTCATTAATTGAGAGCTTACAGTAAAAAGTAATTTTTTTGATTAACCAGAATGCTCAGGAATGGAATGTTCTGGTTAATGGACTTTTCTGGTTTAGGGAACAGTTGCACCAGACTTTTTATTTGTTTTAAACATATTCTTTAACCTTTTAAAAAAAAATGTGTCTATAGCTTTCTGCCTTAGTAAGCACAGTAGACCAGACCTGATTGAATCTGGCTACTATCACTTAGAGTTACACAGTGTTTCTGCAAACCCTTGATTCTAATTGGATAAGATCACCAAAAGTCCTGGATATTGACCAAATCTGGACTGAACCTGGGGTATATGCTGGGAAATTTGGGAAATTGTTTGGTTTCTTCTCATTCACTTCCTTCCCTAAAAGCAGAGTGATATAAAAGAAAAATTCACTAGCCAAGTGAAGATGTTGACTTGCTAATCTATACTTGACTGAATAAAACCATAGTTTAGAACATGAAAATTCTATGTCATCAGAGAAAAAGGTGCTAAAAAGCTTAGATCCAAAAAATGAGACTTTGCATGTCCAAAGGAAACAACAAGTAGATTGAGTTCATCTTGACCTGTCGCTTCAATTTATTCCCTAACTGAATTAATCTTACAGCAATTATCAGGGACCTAGTCACCGCTTTGACTCTTCTGTAGTGCAAATGTTAGGTTTTGTTTATAAACTAGCTAAGGTTCTTGGCGGTAAATAGAACTGCTTTATACTTCTCCCATTCATTTACCTTAGACTATATAATTATCCAAAGGGAAATATGGTCTGTGAATTCTGAAAGTGGCCTTCCAGCACTTTTCACCATAATGAATTCATAGTCCCTTTTCTTGATTCATTTTCAGGCAAATATTACCATATTTCTATTCTCTCAAGCCTTCATTTGTCTTTAATAGAGACTGCTTATCATGTCAAATGGTGTGGAAAGAGTGAGAACTGTGTAGAATTATGCTGCTGTCACATTTATTTTATTTCCTGGATAA